TGACCATGGCAGCAATTAGAGTTCTCAACTTTTGCACATATACTGCAAGCTCACGCTTGCCTTGGTGACACGCCAAAACCCGCAAACGGTTACGGCGTGCTTGGTTTGGCGGTGCATACTGCCGGGTCATCTGAACTTTCAGATCGACCCATGTGGAAAAAGCATCTTGCAATGATGCACCACATGTGAATGCCCACTGTTTGGCTAAACCACCTAACTTTCCCATGGCAAAGCCCGCACGGTACGGCTCATAGGTGATGTCGGCTACAAACATAGCCGACTCGACCTGTTGGAACCAAAGCATAAGGTTGTCACCTTCTTTGCCGTCAAACTTATCGACTTTCATTTGTATGGGTTTTGGTCTGCGGACCACTTCTTGCCCATGGGCGAAGGCGCAGAAGAAGGCATCTGTGCCTTTACATGCTCGACTAGAGCTTTATTATATTCATTAAACATATGAATACGCTTGTTAACCTCTTCTTCGCCTTAGGCGATGAGGTACTCCACGCCCTTAGGGCCAAAGATAGGGAGCAGCTTCTACAACCCTTCTTGTTGTGCCTGTAACAGGCCAACCGCTGACATCTCATCGATGTACATTCTCACACAAAGAAGTAGTCGCAAACCCAGGTGCGGGATTGACTACAATGCTACCAGGTGTAGCCGAGCTACTGTAGCTACGCTACTTATGCACTATGTGCAATGCACTATGGCAGAGGAAGTAGTCAAACTACTGTAGCAAAGCTACTTATGCACTACGTGCAGGGAAAGCCAAGCTCAGAGAGCTTTTACGTCCTAAGGTGCTTAACCCTCTAGACTAGCTCGTAAGCTTGTGCCTATCGGTTGTAACCGAGTCTCAGAGAGACTAGTATCAAAGGTACTGATTCCTTAGAAGGAATAGAACGCTCAAGCTGTAAGGCTTACAGAGCAAGTTTGAAAATGATTAATACTTATGCTTATCTTCTAACACTAAATATAGAAGCACCTACTCTATACTAGTGCTAGTCACTTTATATTGGCTCTGTAGCCCTTAATATGTAACATTGTATAGATACTATACTTAACTAAGTATAGCGACCACGTGGATCTCTGCCACGATGCGACCCTTCGTACCTTAAGTGTGGCCACATCAATATACCACAGTACTTAAGGTACAGCCACACCATTGTGGTGTGGCAGGTGTGTATGTACAAACAAACCTCCGTTTAATTTAGCTTTATAATCACCACGGATAGACTAGACTTGCGAGGCCCAACATTGATTTTTTCTCACCAATTACGCTTACTAATTAAGCAACCTAGTTTTCTACACTGTCTTGCTTCTATCCGACTTCCTAAACGTATCTTTTACATAATATCCGACCTATTGTAACACGGACAACTTAGCAACAAAATGTCAGCACCCAAGTTTAGCAGCTACCACCACATTTTTTGCTTTGTTCACTGTATTTCTTTTGATTTAGTTGAAGCTGTGTATGTTGTAGGGGTGTTGTACGAGATCTTGACTATCAGTCTTCTTCCAACGTCGGAGCCTCGCCGATCTCACTCTTGACGTATTTGTACTTGCCACGAAACGTTTCCTTCTGAGGTCCAGCAAAGACGCAAGTTTGAAACTGATTAATACTTATGTTTATCCTCTAACACTAAATATAGTAGCACCTACTCTATACTTAGTGCTAGTCACTTTATATTGGCTCTGTAGCCCATTAATATGTAACATTGTATAGATACTATACTTAACTAAGTATAGCGACCACGGGGTACTCTGCCACGATGTGACCCTTCGTACTTCAGGTACGGTCAAATCGCCTACTTTAGTACCCAAAGTACAGCCACACCACATTGGTGTGGCAGGTGTGTATGTAAAATACTCACCTTCGCGTAACCCCGTTACACCCTCCCCCACCAATCCGTGGGACCCGACGTACCCACGAATTTTTGCACTTAATTGGAGGCATCGATTTCAGTTTCTTCTCATTTTGCTTGCCTCACAATAAGTGCTTGTACTTGCGTGTAAAGCTTCTGCGTTTCTAACACTTGCTCTTTAAGCACCCGTGCCTTGCACACACGCTTTAAAGCATCTTTGTGTTACGACACACTCTCTTTGAGCATATAGTGCATCACACTAACGCTAACTGTTCAACACACTTGCTTTTAGGCATTACAGTGATCACAACACTTGCTTTAAGCATCACAGTGTTCACGAATACTTCACACGGCAGAGCGGTGCTGGACCAAGCAGAAGGATGAGAATCAAGGCGATCACGCGGCGGTAACAACCGATGACGCGGAGCCAATAATGTGCAGTGGCAAACCAGCAGCAACAACTACGACGACGATTACGATCGAGTAGCGTTTGCGGTTTTGCTGGAAGCAGGAATATTGACGGGAAGAGCATGCCTGGAATGTGGGCGATTGACTGTGGAGCAACGCACCATGTATGCAACAAAAAGGCCAAGTTCACGACGCTGAATGAGCAAGATGAAGGTGAACTGTTGGTAGCTGACGGCAACAAGGCCGCAATCAAGGGTGTGGGAACCATCATCGAACGAGTGGTACGTACGTTTTGACTTCTCAAGAAAAACGACTCAAGTGGGATGCCAAGGCTCGTGCAGGTGTGTTCATGGGATACGAAGAGGTATCAAAAGCGTATCGAGCTTACGACATCGAGACAAGACAAGTGATTATCAGTCGTGATGTCACCTTTGACGAGACGATCGTTGGTATTTCGACTATGAGTGCAAGTGATGACGACGAAGATGCTACGCTGGACTTGAGTGGACTCGACATCAGTGATGACAACGGAGGTCCATCACAGTACCAGCAGACTGGAAAACGCAAGGACCGTTCGAGTGACGCCAACAGCAAGGATGCCTACTCGCGTCCAGCTCATCATGGTGCTAGCCTCGAAAAAGCAAGTGCTCCTGATCGCGCATTTCGGCGCCAAGTGAAGAGTCGACCAGGCATGTATTGAGGGTTACCGGTACAATCCAAACTCTAAGGCTTAGTATTTACGGCAGAGTTCTTACAGGTAATTACGTCATAGTTGATTAGACGAGTAGCTTGATAGGAAGATCTACATGATTTATATGTGGACTTCATATAAATCAGGACGTGAACAGTCGCAACTGATTTATATGTGGACTGCATATAAATCAGTTGGTAGATAGAATAAGCTCTTATAAGTTAATCACTTTCCAATTTACCATCTTCTGCTCAAGTCGTCTTCACCCTTCAAGTGCAGACTCCTTCGCTTTCTACCAAGCTTCGCAAGACCAAGTCTCATACCTTCCATCAGGTTATGATCCCAAGTACGATGTCCACTGCCCAAGACGTGTCCTCCAAGGTCTCCATCGATAAGTTCGATGGGGACAACTACGCGACTTGGAGTCGTTACATGTGTGGCGTGTTCCTGACCAAGTCGGTCTGGCACGTCGTTAACCGTGAGACGACGCCGACCTTCGCGGACCCTCGTCCCATGGAAGATTACGTCCGGTCGAGCAACATCGCGTTTGGACTGATGTTGCTTCACATGGACGCCGACTATCATCACTTGGTTGATGATTGTGAAGAAGCATGGGTCGCATGGGCGCGTTTGAAGACGCTTAACGGTGGATCGAAGAAGGCTGGGCGCATTTTTCTGAAGCTCCAGCTGTTCAGTATGGAGATGAAGGAAGGCGGCAATGTGATGCATCATTGCAACGAGGTTCTCAACATCAGCGCCAAGCTTACCAGCATCGGCGCCAAGATGGAGGACGAAGACGTGGCGATCTGTTTGTTGCGCAGTCTTCCCAAGAGCTACGAGAATGTCGTGCTGAATTTGGAGATGAACAGCGCTGAATTACGATCAAGAGACATTGTGAGGGTGCTTACGAATGAGCACATCAAGAAGCAAGGCGAGAAGACGGCATCGGTGAAAGTTGAAGAAGCGGCCAAGGCTTTCAGCACCGAGCGCGAGCCTCGCCAGTGTACGTACTGCGGAAAATTCGGGCACACGGCAGAGCGGTGCTGGACCAAGCAGAAGGATGAGAATCAAGGCGATCACGCGGCGGTAACAACCGATGACGCGGAGCCAATAATGTGCAGTGGCAAACCAGCAGCAACAACTACGACGACGATTACGATCGAGTAGCGTTTGCGGTTTTGCTGGAAGCAGGAATATTGACGGGCAAGAGCATGCCTGGAATGTGGGCGATTGACTGTGGAGCAACGCACCATGTATGCAACAAAAAGGCCAAGTTCACGACGCTGAATGAGCAAGATGAAGGTGAACTGTTGGTAGCTGACGGCAACAAGGCCGCAATCAAGGGTGTGGGAACCATCATCGAACGAGTGGTACGTACGTTTTGACTTCTCAAGAAAAACGACTCAAGTGGGATGCCAAGGCTCGTGCAGGTGTGTTCATGGGATACGAAGAGGTATCAAAAGCGTATCGAGCTTACGACATCGAGACAAGACAAGTGATTATCAGTCGTGATGTCACCTTTGACGAGACGATCGTTGGTATTTCGACTATGAGTGCAAGTGATGACGACGAAGATGCTACGCTGGACTTGAGTGGACTCGACATCAGTGATGACAACGGAGGTCCATCACAGTACCAGCAGACTGGAAAACGCAAGGACCGTTCGAGTGAAGCCAACAGCAAGGATGCCTACTCGCGTCCAGCTCATCATGGTGCTAGCCTCGAAAAAGCAAGTGCTCCTGATCGCGCATTTCGGCGCCAAGTGAAGAGTCGACCAGGCATGTATTGAGGGTTATAAGAACTCACTGTAATATTGCGAAACTGGAATTTCATCTCAGTCTCTTACTGAACTCACCACTGTTAAATTCCAACACTGGAATGCATGAATTGGATTTGATATAATAGGACACAAGGTCCACAGCTGAATGGATACACCACTAACCTCATATTGCTGACAAATATAAGTAGCAGCTTTTGATGGTGATGTTCGCAGATGATTATAGGTGAGTTGTGAAGTTGCACTGTATGAGCACACGAACCTAAGCATTCTTACGCGATACTTCATCGATAATTGTTTTCATCTCATGAACGTGGACTTCGTACTGGCCTGTTGCAGGTGAGGCAGACGGAGGACGTCCGATGTAAGAAATTGCGCGGGAGTCGCCCAAATGTTTGAGCACGGTCCGTAAACGCGGAAGCACATGGCTGTACGCGCCCATATTTTTCGGCTCTTCCTGGACCCACACGATCTCCGCCTTGGGATAACGTGCGATGCAGTCGGCCACTTCATGGAATGGAAACGGAGCTAGCTGCTCCAGCCGAGTCGTAGAGATGTCACGAATTCCATGGCTGCGCAGGCTATGGCGCACAGGAAAGTAAACTTTGCCACAGCAGAGAACCAATTTGCGAATCTAACGAGCAAAGAGGGTTTCACAAATTAGTCTGCGCATTGAATACAGCATTATCACATTGTTCTTACCTCATCATCATTCACTATTGTCCCTTGATCATCCGGGTGCGGTAGGAGCACACGTTGAAATGACGTCCCCAGAGTCAAGTCCGCTAAGTCAGAGTTGCACGGGCGATGGTGAAGCAGTGACTTCGGTGTGAACATAATCAACGGCTTGCGATAGCTGGAAGATACTTGACGACGAAGAGCGTGAAAATACTGAGCAGGAGTGGATGGAATAACCACCTGAATGTTTGTCCGCGTTATTGCAGCATCGACACCCTGCTCAGGTGTGAATTCGTCACTGTCCTCATTAACTAGAAGAAGGAAGCGTTCGATCCGTGCACTACTGTGCTCTGGCCCTTGGCCCTCGAAGCCATGCGGTAAATTCAGCACAATGCCCGACTGCCGTTGCCACTTCTGTTCACCTGTCGTGATGAAGGTATCAATCATTGTTTGGGCACCATTTGCAAAGTCACCAAATTGAGCTTCCCAAATGGTCAAACCCATAGGAGTTTGCAAGGAATATCCGTATTCAAAGCCAAGTACTCCCTCTTCGCTAAGCGGGCTGTTGACTACATCAAAGCGTCCCCGCGGTGCGTTTTCTAACCCGGCCATTTGAAGTGTACATCTCATAACCTCTATGTCGAGGTCGTTCAAAGGCGTGTACGACACATTGCGCCCGAACAGCGCCTCAACTTGGTCGTATAAAACAGCGTGGCGTTGGTTAAAGGTGCCACGTTCGCAGTCTTGTCCGCTAAGTCGTACATCAACACCTTCCACGATTAGGCAACCAAAGGCCAGCATTTCTGCCGTTGCCCAATCCAATCGAGCACCAGTCTCAACAGCGCGCAGCCGATTGTTCATGATAGCTTCAACCTTCCAATGTGCTGAAAATCCCTGCGGAATCCGGAATAGTTGGCTTCCTACCTTTTCTAAAAACTTCTTGTCGACACCTGTTGATCTATCGTAGATTTGGTTCCCATTGATATCAATGGCACTTGGATTACTGCTCAAAGTATCGGCGTGACAAAGACCCTTCCTGTCGCTATACCACTCGGTTTTCCACGACGTATCACCGGAATTGTCCCATCCCGAATAATTTTCACGTGAGTGTTTATACTCGGAGGCAAGCTGATCCTCATACGTGGAGCACATTTTCGCGTAGTCGCTTACTGACAAAACACCTTCGCTAATAAGCTTTTGAGAGTAAAGCTTGATGACTGTAGGATGTTTCTTTATGAGATCATACATAACTGGAGCTGTGACCTCCGGTGAATCTTGTTCGTTGTGACCGTGACGACGGTAGCAAACCAAATCAACAGTCACATCACAGTGAAACGTTTGGCGAAATTCGACTGCAATTTTCATCACCTTGGCCACCGCCTCCGGGTCATCAGCATTTACGTGAAAGATCGGACTTCGAGATACCTTAGCAACATCGCTGATCCATCAGCAAATAAATAAAGAACGACGATAGTCAGCAGAAGCCAGGAGTAACGCAATGGCGCGTGTAATATTTTAACGTACGTGCAATACACGGCAGAATCTGCATTCTTAGGCAGTGTCGTAAAACCAATTTGATTGTTAATAATCACATGAATCGTTCCTCCCGTTCGAAAGTCTTCCAGTGAGCTGAAACCCAATGCTTCTCGTACAGATCCCTGAAACATTGAAGCGTCTCCGTGGATCAATATGGGCATTACCCGACTTCCGTTATCCCCCAGTTGCATTTGGCAGGCCCGAGTTTGTCCGAGAACAACTGGATTTACCGCTTCTAAGTGCGATGGATTCGCCGCCAGGTTGATTTTCAGATGCTTGCCGTTACGCATTTCAATAACTGACGATGTGCCAAGATGGTACCGAACGTCATCCGAATTGTTCGGGTAGTCGGGCTCATCTGGCAAATATGGCTGAAATTGAGAAATAATAGATCGAAGTGGTCGCTGCAACACATTAGCCAAAACATTCAGACGGCCGCGGTGAGCCATTCCCATCTGAACGACCTCCACCTCAAGGTCACTAGCAGTCTGAAGCAGCTCACAAAGACCAGAAATCACGCTCTCGCCACCTTCAATCGAAAATCGCTTTGCTCCAGAAAAGCGCCGTCCAAGAAAGCGCTCAAAAAGTTCTGCATGTACCATTTGACGCAGCATCTCTACCTTCTCATCCTTGCAAAATTGTTTTGCCTGCACACCAGTATAACATAGTGAGATCTCACATGTCACTCTTTGGGCAGCATTGTGTCATAACTCCTACTTTGTACATTTCAAGTCGCTCACGGATCCAAAGTGCAGCATCTCGATTGCGCAAGTGCTGATACTCTAGCCCAATGTGGCCGCAAAAGAGCTCCCTTAGCTCTGTCACAATCTTCAAACCAAACAAACAGCCACGGCACACACGTCCGTCAACAACCAGCAGAACAAAATTATGGTACATTTTGAGCCTATCTACTCAAGTCTCACCTCTTGAAGTGTTGCAACTGGACCAATAGATAGATCCTGACCAATAAAAAACTCTCGATTCAAGTCATTCACTGTGAAACCTGTTGACAAAGTACTACATAAGACAAAGAAACCTATCAAGATATTCCTTCAAAGGCCGTACCATGAGTTGTAAGCTCCAAAAGGTTCTTTGATGCAAGATTCCGCAGATTAAACTCATCAAAAAAAGGCGTCTCAATCCATCGGTCTCCATTAATCCATCGCTCTAGCTCTGGTAGCTTTTCTCCTATACAAATAATTATTTACATGTAAGCGTCTTTGTGTCCTCTTTCATTTGAGTTAATAAAGTCGCACGTTTTTGAAGAGGATCTATCTGGGCAACATAATGTCCATACTAAAGTAATAGATATCAATAGATAGATAGTAGAACGCAATTGAAAAAGACTGTGAGTTTGTATGAAATTCATACTATAGTGAGAATTACTAAATTACGATGAGAGAGACTGTCTTACCTGTTTAAAAGTACGAATGAGTAGTAATACATGACGTGTCTCTTCCTGTGATCGTCGCATTTCATCACTGATCTTCTGTATTGGTGGTTGAGTATCTTTGATGTTGTAGCGATGACGAACTGCCGCTTTTAAGACACGCGCATGGCTTCGAACTTTTGTCTGCAATGAAAGGATCATCATTATTGATCAGTGCACGGTTGAAGATTGTTTTCGTGTCCACCACACTATCCACGGTGTCACGGCCAATGCCTTCCTTGTTTCAAAAGAAAGCCGAAAGTTGAAGTCGTATTAGAGGCAATTAAATATTTTTTGATACGAAAGGAATGTTGGTCACTGGTACTATAAGCCGCAATGAACGAGGTTAGTTGACTCTTTGAAATGTTGTACGAGACGTTGCATTGGATGGAAATTGTCTCGACTGTAAAACTTGTTGCAAGCGTTAAAAGCAGGAAGGAGATTATAAAAAGTAGTTGAGTGGAAGGTAAAGTGGCTAAATACGCTGCTGTATGTCTACCCATAGGCATGATCTTTGTAGCTATGCGTGCAATGCAAGTCGTGTAAGAATACTACGACTGAGGTGAGGGCCAGTCACGAGACGATTTACATGCAGAACGACATAATCTGAAGGGACTGATCTGCTAAGCTTAGCGCATAATCAGCACATTCAATAACGCAGGTATTGCTCGTTATAAGTGCAGTGACAATGGTCCAGCAGAGTTTGCAAATGGATTGTATGCTCTTTTAAGACTCGTTAAGCACGCATTGTGGCTGGCTGATAGCAAGCTACGTTGTGTGACCAGCAATAGACGCCGAAAAATCAAGCTGTCAGAAAATACTATGACCAATTGGCAGCATGTGGACGTATATACTGCAACGTTAGAGACTGCAGCGTGTCCTTGTGATGTCCAATACGCAAGGGCAACAGAAGCCTTGACTAAGGTTGTTAAATACGACAAAAGCCGTTCATGCCGCCGCTATCATCATGCATTCTAGTATCTACATTATCTGTACTTCTCGGTAGTTGTTGCTGTCAAACGTCTGCGCTGCAGTCTTCTTCTGACAAAAGACAATGTTGCAAACATAATTGAAATCAACTGGCACCTGTTAAGACGACACTTTTGCCTTAGACGTCATGAAAGCTTTCTTTGTTGTAATGACAATAACGTAATATGGTCGTTCTATTCAATTAGAGTACCATATAAAATCTCTTCCCTATTTCTAAAAACGTTTATTCCCTGCAAAAGATGCAGAGTTTTTTTTTTCTAGACAAGTATATTACTAACTGTACAGACCAACGTCTGTTCATTTGTCACTATTTTGTCACTAAAGCAAAAGAAGCGTCCACTATTAGCCACGTCACAGACTTCTAACACCTCGTCATTTCAAAGCCCAAGCTCTTTTTCAAGATGAATGTGTTCCGACTAGTGGGCGACATGTCGCACCTGGCAAGTTTCCTCGTACTGCTACTAAAGCTTTTGGCCTCTCGCTCTGCTAATGGTGTGTGTGTCCTCTCGCTTTTGTCTCTCATCTCTCTCTCGATTCTTTCTCAACTCTTTTTGTCTACAAACTTTCCTTTTCTCTTTAGGTATCTCACTCAAGTCACAGGAGCTCTTTGTTCTAGTGTTTATAACGCGTTACATGGATCTGTTCTTCCACTTTGTTAGTCTGTATAACACTCTCATGAAGATACTATTTCTGGCCTTCTCGAGTGCTCTCGTCTACGTCATCCGCTTCAAGGATCCATTTCGCAGCACGTACGACAAGTCGCACGACGCCTTCCTGCACTTCAGATTTGCAGTCTTACCTTGCGCACTACTGGCGCTGGTCTTTAATGAGCAGTTTGAGGTCATGGAGATTCTATGGACATTCTCTATCTATCTCGAGGCCGTAGCCATCATCCCGCAGCTCATCTTGCTGCAGCGCCACGGAGAAGTGGAGAACCTTACCGGCAACTATGTTGTGCTGCTGGGAATCTACCGAGGATGCTATGTGATTAATTGGATCTATCGCGCTGCGACCGAGTCGTCCTACCATTTTATTTGGCTCATGTTTATTGCCGGTATGGTGCAGACAGCACTCTACGTCGATTTCTTCTACTACTATGCTGTCAGGTACGCGCTCTTGTATGTTTTTTTCGTGATGCAACATGATTTTTCTAACGTTTCTGGGTTTTATTTTTCGTCTACATTTACATGCAGCAAATTCCACGGTAAGAAGATGACGCTGCCCTCCTAAATTGAACCATCTTGCAAGAAGAAGAGCAGATGACTTTCAACGAAACGAATATAGCGCTTCGGGCAGAATCAGGTCAAGATCGGATTTGCTATCGATGCTCGAGGAGCGTCTTATGAGAGATTAGTAGAAAAATCAAGGCACCAGAGAAAGAAAAGTGTTTGCTTTTTTGTGCGCGCTTCCTTATATCACATTTCGTCTATGTCTTCTGCTTTCATTACGACTGGAGAAAAGAATGTGCTTAAAGTGTACAAGTTGCGGCATACTCTACTTGACGTCCTATCCGTCTAGAAAGTTGAAATTACAGTGTTTGGAGACGTGATCTGCTGCCAATTCTATCCGATCAACATCGTCACGTCGAATTTTGGCCGTGAATTGTGAAATTTGTGCCGTGATCGTGTAGCTGTCTGCCTTGTCCGGTGAAACGTAGATGCACGGGATATTGTCCGCGTCAAGACGCTGTGCGAGTTCAGAACTTGGCGGATTCCAACCGGTAAGAATGAGGCCCGACTTTAAGTTTTTGCCGTGAGAAGAAGATTCTTCCTGGTTACCAATGATTGCATCAATTACATCCTTGCGGCCACTGTGCTGTATATGCCAATCCGTTAGATATTAACACGCCGGCAACACGACGACGATGACAAAGCAACCTCACCGTGATTACGAGTTGGCTCGGGATGGCCTTGAAAAGGTTCGTGTCATCCACAGGAGCCAGTGCTAGTCGTGTGCTGCTGAAATAGCGCAGGCTAGCGTCTCTGCCTGTAGTCAAATAAGAAGCAACGATACATTGTCAGTTCTTGCGGATGCTTGACAAGCACCACTATTACTTTCCGGAAATGATTTCGGACTTGAGAAGTTTTGAGTAGTCCGCCATAGTTGGGCATGACAAGTCGTTGAGGTCGGGAATACAGCCGACAAGCGGCACACCCCAGCGCTTGAGTGCTCGTGAGTAATAGTCCTATAGCAAGAAGCACACGTCAAAATGCAGTCCATACAAATGTGTACTTTTCCATCATTCTTGTAGACATAGCACACCTTAATCATGTCCATCTTGTTCGGATTAACCTTGTTTAGGATTACACCTCGTAGCCGAACATTGTTCTGCTTCAACATTTCCCAATTCAATGCTAACTGGTCAAAGGATGAGCCTAGTCCTCCCAGTGCCACACAAACTGCATCAATTCCAAGCTCCGCTACAGTAAAATCATCAAAACATCAGTACAAAGAACTTTTGCAATCCACGACTGCGTTGAAATACCTGCGACTTGTGCATTATTGAGTTCACAAATGGAACCAACTCCAGTGTGTCCCGTTCCTTCACAAACAAGAAAATCACTTTGCTCGTACAAGTTTTGATGTGCTACTTTGATTGAATCCAAGAGCTGTTGTGATGTCACTTTGCCATCGATAAAATCCCGCGTGAAGCCATTGGGAAAGATGACGGGAGACATGTCCTTGTAGTCCTGAATAAGTCCAAAATGCTCTCTAAACAAAAAGGCGTCCTAGATCTCACAATTAACATATACATTTCATTACTTTCACTTCATTACTCTATGTAGATCAGCCACCCCATAGCACCTTGTCTACTCGAATGCCACCATTTACCGCCACGTGCTGCTGTCCCACGGGCTTGCAGTAGGCCACTTGTTTGTTAGAACCCTGAAATTTAGCCTGTAGACTCTTAACAAGTCCAAGACTAAGCGTTGTCTTACCAACGTGTTGACCAGTCGACAGGACGAGCAAATGCTTGGTCATAATAATAACAATAACAGTAACTACACAAGAGAACAAGACCCTCTTCGGCTCTCCTTTGTTGCTTCCTTTGAAGCCAAAATCCTTTTACGGTATTATTCACCAATCACATGACAGTATTTTTACATTGGGTTGTCATACTGATAAAAACTGCTCATGGCCGAGGCGGAACTACAAATGTGCGTTGTGTGCTCTATGGACATGACCCCGTGGAGTGTAGCAGACCGTGAGATGCACTTAAATTTGTGTCTAGATAGTGAGACGATGGATCAGCGATATGAATGCCCCACGTGTAGCCAAGAACTCTCGCACTGCGACGAGCGTCGACGCCTGGAGCATGTAAACCTCTGTCTTGACAGAGTGGTGACGAACCGCGACGACACTGGAGTATATCGAGAAGAGGAAGAAAAGAAGGAGACTGACATGATACTGACGCAAGTGGTAGATCCGACGCAAGTACAAAAGGAGCAAGAGATGGTTCAAAACAGCGATAATGAGTGCAGTTACGTGTGCAAGATCTGCGGCACTGATATTTCCGAGATTGATCTAAGTAAACGCATTCGCCACGTAAAGTTATGCGGGCAAAGATTTGGTGTGAGAGCTGCTGATATGGCAGAGGTGGACAAAGCAGAGGCGATTGCGACGAGGCTGGAAGAGATGAAAGCACCAGACGCGTTTGCCATGATGACAAGTTCGTCGGAATCAAAGAAACAAAGTGCTGGTGTTGGTACGTGCAATAAGTTGAAAGCTGTAATTTGTACACAGATTGACTGGATCGTGGTGTCGGCTGATTGGACACAGAAAGGTCAAACGTCTTTGACGTCCTGATGCGAGGCTCCAAAACGGCTGCTGTGCTCAACGCTAGGAAACGTCCCGTGCCTGTCAAATTTACTCGCAAAGCTATCAAAAGACGGCATCTCTTGTATCCTGATTACAAGTGCATCCGTGGAACGGATCCACCATTCATAGTAGATGGGTTTCAGTACGCGTGCAAAGAGAATTCCAGCATTTATTTCCTCACACACTTTCACTCTGATCACTACGGTGGAATCACCAAGGTAAGCATGTTAAGCGAAATATGTTGTGTGTGTCTTTGACGTTTTTATCGGTAGGACTTTGACTGCGGTATCATTTACTGCAATGAAATTACTGCCAAGCTTGTGGTTCAAGAGCTGGGTGTCCATAGCAAATACGTCCATCCAGTGGGGATGAACATACCTGTGCTTGTCGGTAACGTACAAGTTACTTTCATGGATGCCAACCATTGTCCTGGTGCAGCCATCATTTTATTTCGCTTGAAAGACGGTAAAACATATCTACACACTGGAGATTTTCGATTTTACAGGAAAATGCTGGGCTACCCTGCGCTACAAGCATATATACCGACCGGAAATGAAACAATTGATCATAACGGTAAAATTGTTGGCATCAATCGTCTGGATGGTGTGTATCTGGATACAACCTACTGCAATCCAAAGTACACGTTTCCGACCCAACAAGTTGCACTCGACCACGCGCTTGATCTCATGAATAAGCATATGACGCAAGAGAAAGTGTTATACCTGTTTGGATCGTATACAATTGGCAAAGAGCGCATGTTCATGGAGATTGCACGCAAGTTTCGAAAGAAAGTATGTGTCTCGAAAGCGAAGTTGAGAATTATTGAAACCTTTGACTGGCCTGCTGAGGATATGCAGCTTTTGACGACGGAACCGTCAGCAACAAAGTACGTTAAGTAAATCTGTAAAGATTCGCCCGTGCATTTGACAACTGGAACTTAACTTGTTGTATTTGACACTTAAATATGACAGCTTGCACGTTGTACGCATGCAGGATCTTAAAATGGACAATCTCATCATACTGCTGGCGAAGCATCGCCAACATGTCCGCCAGATTGTTGCGTTTCGCCCCACAGGATGGACCTTCAGCAGCAAGAACCCGCGAGAAATTTCTACTTGTTGCACTGATCCTTCGGGCAAGATCTTTGTCTACGGCATTCCCTACAGCGAGCACTCGAGTTTTGCCGAGCTCTGCGACTTTGTCAAGGTCGTAAATCCTCATGCTATAATCCCAACGGTGTGGTAACTCTTGCTTCTCAATTATAACTTTCACCTGACTGACTCGAGCTCATAATACTACCGCACCAGGTGAATTGCAGCAACAAGCGTAGTGCGACGAAGCAGGTCAATGCGTTGCGCCAGGTTGCGTTTCATAACATTTCGGTGCTTTTTAAGCAGCAGCAACAACAGATAGAGCAACAGCTATAGGTGTTAAAGCAAGGGAAAAAGCATGATTGATTGAATCACGCAAACTAGAAACTACAAGCGTTTTGCAGTACGTACTCGTGCAAGCATTCATATGTCAGCGAGTTGTTACGATACCTCATGTATTTACAATGAAGATGTAATTAGTTGCAATGGCCTCTCTTTCTAAAAGATCCGAGAAAGATCAACTATAACAACACGATAGATATGCGTCTGCTACTTTTAGTAGGTGCTTCAACATGCGCTTCAGGTAACCAAATTTTCGTCTTTTGTCACAATCGAGAAACTCTGCTGCGTCGCGTATAAATTGTCATTCGTTTCTGCGATCACTGGTGTGGTAAAAACAGCATTTGTTGAGGACAAGCCAATGAGTGACTCATACATACATCAAAGAGCAAAATGAAAACACCACGAGTCGTGACGTGACCTGTAGCTCTCCTTCACGAAAGCAGCGCGTCGCTGGATGAGTCTGGCATGGCACCTGTCCATTTTAATAAGCGTAACCCTCCCAAAGTTACCACCACCAGCAACGCGCTTGTGCTGCTTCTGTTGCCATCTGCGGTACACCTTATCCACATGTTGTTCCTTGCGACAATCCCACCGCTCTCGTTGCGGCGCTTAAGCGTACCCTGACTTGTTAATTCACCTGCAGTGGTCTTGACAAATCTATTCTTTCGTGCATTCCAATGTAAAATTCGTCGCTTCTTGTGCATTCAATAGCTTCGTCGGGATTCCCATCCAGCATGCTACGCTGTTTCATTGAAGAACGTCCTAAGTGAGTCTTTGACCGTAAAGTAATAATGTTATTGTGTGATTATATAGCTACACAAGTTGCAAATCCAGCAAAGAAGAATGTGAACGCCCAAACCTGTCAAATAATTCGTCAGCAAAGTTGATGACATTCGCTCTTTCTTAGTGTAGACGCATAATTAGTCACTTGCACCGATACCAGCATCAACTTGTTCTTAAAATATTGAGGTAATATTTCGAAGCGTTCACTTAATTTTCCTTAATCCTTGAACAAATGCTTGATTTTGTTTTTTTTAAATTGTCTAGAGTTATAGCCTCGATTGAGCAACTCAGCTCGACAACGACAACACCGGTATTTGTTATACTAAGTGTGGGTAGGGTAGACTCGGTATTGGGTCCGGTATCCTGGGATCATGAATCCGTCGTAATTTAAAATAAATTACGGTAAGATAATGCAAAGAATGCATCTTTCGGATGTCATTCATTATGCACGAGCTCGGAAAAGATCCAGTCACTTGGGTAATGCGTCCTATTCATTATGTAAAAGTTATGCAGTCAAACATGCTCATGTTGTTTCTTGTCATCAGAGTTTTGTGAAGCTCTTTGGTGCTCACGTGGGTCGCAATTTGCTCGAGTTTGAAGGTCTTCCAGCAAGTCACGCATGGCAGTGGAAATCAGGTGGACTCGGGAGGTTGCGTCTATTGACAAAGGCCCAATGCATTGGTGTTGTCGTTTCAATTTTGTGGCGCACTGATAGGGGTGAGGCTTCAATTGCAAGAGAAGTCGATGAACTTTGTCCTTTACTAATTGATGGAATATTTTAAAATAGTGGAGATACTAGTGGACGACGGCACTGCACTCATTAAAGCGGTGTTGTGGGGGGAGATTGCTCATGGTATAGTGGTGCTGGGGGACCTTGTACACGTGGAGGGAAAGCTCAATATGGACAAGAACTGGGATGCTCTTGAACAGTCAGTAGTTAGAGGGGATAGAGACTAAATTTCTGTGTTGTCTTGTAAAGAGCTCACAACGTTATCTTTTTCTTCCTATTGTGGTAAAAGGTCCCGCGAACTTCGAATCCTTCGGATCTCCAGAGTGGAAGATTCGAACAAAGAGCTGTTGCACTGGATTCAAGTCATGGAGCTAGCTCAGACGTATTACTCTGCTGCTAATGGGTCTCATGCGTTACAGGATACATCTAGCGATGGTGTGAAAAGTAAGACGCACTGGGAGGATATTGCCGCTCAGGCTTTTTTCAGCCTGTGCATCAGTCTCAGTAGTAAACAACAATATTTGAGTCGAACCACCCGCACTCGCCATGATGGGACGTTGCTGAAAACGCTCGAGTCGCTCCTTCTCCTGCAGAACACAAGTGGCACCGAAAAAGCGATAAGTATCACCTTTACCGACTGTATTAGCTCCACTGGGTTTGGTGCGATGGCAAGTGTAGAGTTCTTTGATACTGTCTCTGTATTTAGCCTCGTGTGTTACTAGCATATCCTTGGTTCACGACAGGCTGAAGGACATGGCACAGCGACCAACAAGAACCAAAGGATTTGGGCACTGCAATATACTTTTCGTGAATTGCGTCGCGCAGGGCTTTTGTACTTGGAAAATGACGAAGCCGATCGCCACGTTCTGTTAAGTTTTGAGGCAGCGTTGAAGCCAGCGCTTCTGCAACTTCTCCAAGGTGCGCTCAATACATGCATATTGATTGCACGTCATTGTCTGATCACATTTCCTTCGTTAGAACACTCGCGAGGTCTTCCGATTGCAGAAATTGCAGACGCGATACTAGCCCGAGAGCAATTCAAATGCATTCCCCTGCAATGGATTGAGCGAAGTCTTGAACATCTCCTTGCATCTCAAGTAGTCGTTCAAAAAGAGGACTCGCAACTGTTTTTCATTAACTAGGCGAAAAACGTGCTTGTTGCCTGTTATGCTAAATTGAGGGGATGAACGGCGAATCACACGAAAAAACGGGTCGTCAGCATCAAGAACTCAACAGAGCAGCAATTAGCCCACTGGCAGGGTGAAGTAGCCGACACAGCAAGGCGACAGCGGACGAAAACTCGCTGCAAGCGATTGATAGAAAGCTTTTTGATGCCACCTGAGCTGCGTCAGGAAAGGCAACGATTGTCGCGGTCACGCACCAACAGGCGAAGAATGACAATATTGCTCTTTATGAGCTGGTGAATCACAGAGCGAAGAATCGGCAGCATTTTTTCCCGACAGTGTGAAACAAAACAAAATGATGGCCCGACGGAATGACAGGTAGACAGGGCAAGTTAAGTGGTGCATGACAGCAAACAATGTCTACAATGATAAGAATGTACGCGCAAATAGGCCAAAGTCTTAGACACGCCCCACTTAAAACCTGCAACTTGACTTACACATGATGTCCACATTGATGATCGTTGAAGTTGTTACTTAGGCAAACAACGATGACGATCATGGACAGATGTCATCCAGGAGCGTTAAATACCTCAAGACTATAACGGTAGGAACGCGCGTGTGATCCGAGCATGCGTCCAGATTGTTTTAAGCCCATTTTCTTTTCGATTTATGCTCAAACCCGCTGACATTTAAGAACGCAAGTGGGCCGGGAAATGGAAATCGCTTTCAGATAACAACTAGCGTGTCGACCGTGTATTCGGCAACGCAACCCTAGATCTAGCTCGCCTGCACGCAAAAGAAGACGGTGTATTTGTTGAGATTGACCATCTGGGTGACTGTTCGTGTGATTGTTAGCAGATGGCGTCGACTGTAGCCGAGCTACTGTAGCCAAGTTACTTATGCACTATGTGCAGAGGATGTAGCCAAGCTACTTATGCACTACGTGTGCAGAGGAAGACAAGCTTTAAGAGCTTATATGTCTTAGGATGCTTAACCCTTCCTAGGCTATCTCGTAAGCTTGTGCCTATTGGTTGTTACAACCCGGTTTCAAGGAGCTAGTATCAATGATACGATTCCTCAGGAGGAATAGGAGGCTCAAGCAGTGATGCTTGTAGAGCAGGTTTGAAACTGATTTATATTTATGTTTATCTTCTAACACTAAATATAGAAGCACCACCTCTATACGTAGTGCTAGTCACTATTTACTGGCTCGATAGCGTTTTATAATGCAAACATGCATAGTCACTATACTTAAATAAGTATAGTGATCACGTGGCTCTCTGCACGATGCGAACCTTCGTACCTTAGGTACGGTCACATCGAGCCTACTCTTGTCAAGATACAGACAGCCACACCACATTGCTGTGGCAGGTGTGTATGTAAAATACACACCTTCGTGTAACCCCGTTACATCAACTGACTGATGTGTCAGTTTTGCATGGATGATGATGCATCTAGTCATAATTTCACTTTATTATAGATGAGCCAGCACTTTTGCATATGAGGACAAAGAGATGAAAAGATAAAAGAAAGACCGCAGATCGGTGGTCCGTGCATCAGCAGCAGCACCTATATATAGGCCAATCTCCATTCGTGTGCGGTAGACACGTCCATGAAAGCGTAGCATACGTTTGTTGGGTGGGATAAAGCTGTACCGATGGCTTGGATTTGTTTTTTAAAGGGTGAAAAGTTTCCTTCAGCAAGCAGGCCTGGCACAGCTGACGTAAGGTTTTTCGGTGGTGTGAAGACATTCAATAAAAATCTCGTGGAACCGCTATCACAGTTAACATTCAAACGGTACTTCGACAAGATGGTGGCTCTAGAAGCCTACGCTTGAGCACGTCATGGAGAGATCACATCAGACGATCAAGACAACGATAAATCCAGCAAAATTACTATAATTAATATCAAGTAGGAGGAAGGATCTAAAGGTTATGGCTAAAGCACTACTTTTATTTGGTCGCTCTTAGTGACCGTGTGATGGTGCCGAGTCGCTTGTATAAGGTTGTGAGCTATTTTTAGGTGAACTGCGCACTGTCATGATGGCAAAGTAAAGTACAATTGCACGCGTACTGACTACTTGCGACAGGCTGAAGAATTTTCACGTCTTGCTCAGTTTGCGAAAATGACATGAAAAGTGGAAAGGCGGTTGGTAGAGACGTCGTAGCATATATCAACAATCATAAGGCGCGTGTAGACACGCGCAAGTATTACTCGTGTCAGAAAATAGGACATCTAGCTCTAATTCAAGAAGCAACAAGCCAAGAACGACTAAGCAGGCGTGAGATAAAGCTTCACGCTTGAAGCGCGGGATACGAGATACGGGATCGAGCCATCGCGATATGTGGATTATCGATTGTGGATCCCGTTTTACTTGGTAGGTGATGAGATCCTCTTTAAAGATGCAAGAGACTGTTGAGGGACACTGCGTGTCACCTGATGGGGATATGCTGAAAATGAATAAAGCGGAGCGTTTTCTGGACGTGACAGAGGAAGAAAAGCAGCACAAGATACGGCTTGCTGAGTTTATTTGGCTCCATCGTTTGCTTGCAACATCACATCGTATGATGCTCGAGAAGAAAGGGTACGCTCTTATGTACCAAATGAAATAACTTGTATTTGTATCACGGGCGACTGAAGAAGTGGTTTTGGATGTTATAATGGAGAGCAACGTACTTGCGTTGACACGGGTGCCCTACTGGCGAATAACGGAGTACCTATGGGAAGTAGCAGAAAGAAGTACAGCCACAAGAGATCAAAACTCTTAAACGGAACGAGGACGCAATCCAAGCTTGCTGGTGGTCAAAGGTACGATCAAGGGCTCTAATAATTTATAGATCATTTTGATCGATTCGGGGAAATCAAGCAATTATGCAGGACGCACTGCCGTTGAAGGCAGTCAGCAGTAATCTCAAACGCTCAGAGCGCGTGAAAGTGCCTTAGTTACGGTCCATTTAACGACAGGGACATAAGTATTGGTACCCAAAATTTGATGGACTTAGTTGTGAAGTTCTAAGATTTAGCAGCATACAAATCTTTTTGGTCTTAGACCGTGATGCGAGGTGCGGTCACAACTCGCATCGCGGCGCATTTAGGCATGGCATGCATTGAACGCCATACGCTACGGTTTCATTGGAGGTCAAAGACCTTAGGCGCAACGCGCATTGCTCCTAGACGCGAGGCCCGCGAGTTCTCAGTAATGTGGTTGAGAACCCACTAGATGACACACATGACTTGTGTCATGAGAATAACGATATATCGCTAAACACAGTGAGTGTTATAAGTGGCTGCGAGCCGAGATGTAAGGATAACAGTCCAAGTGACATCGGTGAAAAGACACTGACCCAAGAAGATTGGGTACAGTCACCAATGAATGTCATCTTCGAGGATAACAAGATGCAAGCATCTAGTGACGAGGTAATGGCCCAAGAAGGTCGAACAAACCAATGATGGCGTTTTTTGTGATAGAAACGAGCTGCAAGCACATCATGAAGAGGCATTGATCCAATAGGTTGCGGTAGATTAGTGTCTCTGTCAGTGGTGACTGGCAAAAAACCAAAGACGCTTTTGACCTCACCGCGTTCAGGTTACCCATTGTGCTAGGGCCATAATACAGCACACGACTACCGAGAAGAAGAAGCAAGTGATGCGCGCAATTTAGGCTACAACGTGCAGTAAAGAGCACGTTAAGGATGTGTGCACTATTCTCACTACAAAAGTTGGAGAGTCTGTGTGGCGGAGTGGCACTTGCAAAGTCAATGCGATTTCAACTCAATACCGCCTAGCGGACCGACTAAAGGGGGGGAGTGTACTCCGATTCCATATATAAAAGTATATTAGCTACCTTGTAAATCTGTGCTTGTGGGGCTACATTTTTGGTAAGCTTGATTCAGTATCCATCTTTATCGCTTTGTAAATGGATGGAAATGGGCATTTGCGTGGAATTTATTCCAGTGATTGCGGTTGTTCTTGGCGGCACTCCCTTTAAGTCGCTGCAGTCCGACTTGAAATTGTACCTTGTTCTAATGTAGACTCATTATAAACCAAGTACTCTAGGAGCGATCTTCTTCCAGGCATGATCAAATGTCTTGTACGTCGAGATGCAAAGGTTCTGCTCAAACGGGGTCGAAACGTGTGCTTTCAAGTTAACTAAAGTTTCTTTTGCAAATAAATCAAAATCCAAAACCTACGACTAGGGCTGTCTATATGCTAGGATCTGCTACTTGTACCGAAAAAATTGTCCCTTGAAAACACGTGCCACATATAGTGTGGTCCACGCTTCCTGTCATGAGCTCGTATAGTGTGGTCCACGTTACTGATGACAGATCTCGTACCCATGGATCGCGTATCACTGGAAAGCGTATCTTTATATCGCGTATCACTGGATGGCGTATCCCAGGAACACGTATTACTTGGTCGCAAATCACTAAAATGCGGATCTCTGGATCGTGATCGCCAGATCGCGAGACACATATCGCCTACGGTATGGTCATCATCTAATAAAATACCATGAATCGCGTATTCACGACAAGTTGATCATAGATCGTGTCTGCCAAGATTACATTTGCGACCGTAAAAATTCACATCACGATCGAGATCGTCTACGTTCTATCTTGATTGCGATTACATGATCTCGTGTAAGAAATTTTCATGACACTATATTGCGGATTCACGACTCTGGATCAAAGCTTGCTGGATCGCAGGTCGCGAGATATGCGATCAAATTTGCCAAACAGTCCGTTACCATTGTTGTGAGGAAGATCCAGCGATCCGGTAGCCGTCAATAATCAGGTCACTTTCACATCACATTACTCGATCAACGTATCATCAATCGAACTGATCGGCTTCTTCATATTTATATTAGTTGTTTTGAACAATCTTTTTTGCCCAAAAACTAGTCCCAGCAGCAAACAGTACATTCTGCTCTCTGATTAACGAGCTTTGTGCAGATATCAATATAATTTGAAAGTCCTGTACCCACCGATTGCGTGCAACATACCGGTGTGCAAAGGTGCTTT